TAAGTTAAGTAAAAAAGAAGGTTCTCCAGTCTTGTATTTGAAGAAAAATAAAATTTTTGTTCATATCCAAGAATTTTCTCCCCTTTTATGTTAACTAGTTTTAGTTTCTTTTTTAATAGTTTCACAATTCTTATTAGCAGCATCCTACTATAGTCTCTGTCAAACTTAAAGTAGAGAAACCAAATTGACAAAGTGGTCTGTAAAACAAAGCAAAGAATACATTATTGGTGGTCTCAAACTCCCCTTTTCCCTTTTTCTTTTTCTTCTTAAGTCAATCCTTAATCTTTAGTGGAGGTCTTAAAAACATTGAAGATTGAAATGCACAAAGAGTTTTTGTGAGGCCTTTTTCATTGTTGAGATTTGTCATGTGACATTGTAACTTAAGTGAGGCCTAGTGTTTTTGTGTGTTCGTATTTTTTGTTCTACCAAAGATCTGCGTTTTCATTTGTTAGTCAAGAAAGCAAAATTTATAAGGTGAGAAATTGATTTCAATATTTACTGATTATTTTTACCTGAGAAAGTTTGGACATGTACATTTCAAAAAAGTGTAAATCTTATTTAAGTGTGTAAGGCTAAGGTTTTTTGTGTGAGTATTTTTTGTTCTACCAAGGATCTGCTTTTGTTTTTTTCTTTGTCAAGGAGTCATCAACTTATACCGGTATTTGTTAGTCAAGAAAGCAAAATTTAAAAGATGGGAAAATGATTCCTAGATTTGTCTACACGTCTGTTCTTCAATTTCTAATATTGGGATAGCACTTCAATGGGGATTGGATAAGGGGCAATGGAAAAACCTAGAATTTGCACTGATCTCATTTATTAGGGTTCCACATAAAGGACTATGTTGACTTAGAATCATATGAAGACCACTAGCATCAATCCTGTGAGATCAAATAATGTGAACACCACATATTAATTTCTTTCCAAAAAGGGAAATGTGACACTTATTTTGGGACAACTCAAAAGGGAAAGTAAGACAGGTAAAATGGGACGGAGGGAGTACCACATATCAAATTAATTATATGTGTGCAGCCGTTTACAGCCATATATAAACCAAAGAAGTAAGAAATCGCAGAAATGCGATGTCTAATTAACAGCGAAAAGGTGGCAACCTAACACTTGCAGAGATTAAAAATATACTAAGTAGAATGTAAAACACACGACCAAGTATGAATAATACATGCAGATCAGAATTTGGAATAAAAGAAATAAAATTCGTCTTAAGATTATTATCCGAAATTCATATATTTTGCATGCATTATTGAAATAAAAATAAAGTAAATGGAAAATACTTGCATGAAATCGAGCCCAATGAAGCATCGTCTCCTTAAGACAAATTTGCCCACAACACAAGTAACAATCGCCTCCCAGGATAGAACGGTTTCTACGTTCCCAAAGGACACCGGCGAACCAAATGCTGCACTAAAGTGGTGGAATTTGGATGAGGAAGATTAAGAAAAGCTTTGAGCATTTTGGTACTTCTTATCGAGTGAAAAAGGCAGACCATAATGGGATTTATAGTGCTCTGGCCAGGAGACACAATCCCAAAAGGTGCCTGTTAAGAAAAGGTAGCGACCCTTTTCGTAAAATTGCTTTTATCCGAAAACAAATTGTACAAAAATAATGTTTAAGTCTTGAGGCCCCCACCTGTACTCGAAACCCGATCGGACATGTCCAGCCAGATGGCGGCGGCGGCCTGAGACAAGTCCTACACGAACATTGCTTTGGAGAGAATTTCGGGATACAATTTTTCATTCATTTCAAAAATGATTTTCTACAAATAATATATAATTTGTAAAATCATTTTCCAACACGCCACTGGCTTGCCCTTACTCAACAAAAGAGGCACACAAGTATCTATGTAGCAAAACATACAAGATTGAGGAATTTAAATAAACACCCGGCCTTCCTGTATATGTAATCCTATAAAAATATTTAATCAAAGTGATTATTGTAGCATATTAACAAATACCTAGTGTATTATTACACTCAAAATGTATGAATCACATTCACTACACGGAATTTTCCAAAGTTTTCATAGTACATGATATATGGAAGTTTTATCCAAAGGCTGGAAAATGAGTTTTCTTATATACGGCAAAAGCTCACCTTAGGAAAAAGGTTTATTGTAGACTTGTGCTAGTTTAAATCACGAAAAGTTTGGAACTTGTGGAGACCTTTTAGGAGGCTCGCGGGATGATATCGGCAGAAAAGAATAACAATTGACCGTTGGCGGTTGGCTGATTATGTTGGCTGATTAATGACAGCAGATTCTGTTGGCTGTTTTGATTAGTTGATTTGATTAGCTGTCTGTAAATTAGTGTTTGGTTAAATAGTTGTTTACAAACAGTTGATAACTTCTTAAATGACTTTTAAGGACATGAATTATTTTTTATTAACATAATTAGTATAACTACCTAAACCATTTTAATGATAAAAAATTAAAATGTATTGACACGAACAATTAATAATTATTTTAATTAATAGATTTAATTAGTATCATAATACTTTGATTTTCAATTCTTAGAGAAACGTCAACATGATACTTTGATTAATAATTGGAGTTATAAGTAAAAAAATTAAACGTAGTACCAAAATATTGATACTAATACGCATATAGCCACTCTTTAATTAAGTTGTAAGACTCTATAACCAAACACGCAAAGGCGATAATGAATTCATTTTGCATGTGTTAAGTAACGAAAAATGTATGCATGAAGCAAGATCATTTCAATCAAAACAACTTGCTTATTTCATTTCCTTATTATATATTACAAAAAAAGTAGAAACTAGGAACTATTTTTATTGAACCTTTTTAGTGAATTTACAGTAAAAATAGGAACTATTTCCTACCTTGTAAAAGTAAAAACCATTCAAAGAAAAAGTAAAAAGTAAAAAAACTGGAGTCAATGATCAAGAACTAAAATTAGGATGTTTTTACTTGGACTGTAATTTGCTAGTCTGGTCTGATCTGATCTGGTATGGTCTGAACTGGTCTGGTAAGGTCTGGTTTCTTTGTATTTTTATAACTATCCAAGTCTGGTCTGAACTGATCTGGTCTGGACTGGTCTGGTCTGGGATAAATTAGTAAAAACATCCTTAGGCGTAGTACCAAATTCCGTAGTACCAATTAAAAAAAGGAGGCATAGGAACGGAATTTGTTTTCCTGAGCTGCAACTTCATTTTTCTTCAGGACAACTAGGAGCATGTGCATGAAAAAAAGGGGCAGCATCGGAATAGACCAAACAGCCGATTGTAAAAGCTGAGATTAATGGCGTTTCATATTTTGGTTGTTTGAGACCAACAACCAAATGTAAAAGCCATTTAACCAAACACTTTAATTAACTGATTATCTGGTCAAAACGCTAAATAATGGTCAAATCAGCCAAAAAATGGCTGATAGGCCAGTAACCAAACACCCCCAAAATCAACTGGGTTATATCTGAAATAGGCGTGCATAGAATTTGCCAAAGTTCCTTCAAAGCAAAGACGTACCAACTACTAACATGAAAATGAAACGGGAATGAGGATGAATGGCAATTGGCAAATCATCTATTTCCAGTGCAAATCTAACGGGTGCAAATGAAAATGGTTTGGGCATGATTTTATTTGGAGGTGTTGTAGTGGTAGTAAGGAGAATGATGTTTCATGTGATTGCCTTCTTTCCTTTTTTTTTTCAATTATAACATTACTTTATATATGCATGTAGTACAATCCCGTTGATATAAAGAGGAAGAAACTAGTATTGCTTCATAGGAGTACATGTTAAAACAGAAAATTGTAGCTTTGGTTTAGAGACACAAAACAAAAGTAACAAAAAACTAACTAACTAAGGCTTAGAAACTAAGTAAGAAATTTGATGAGAATCATAAGAACACGCGCATAAATGAAAGTACTCCTATTTCAATGCGTGAAAGAAACTTTGTCGTTAATTGTTGCAATAACGAACCAAACTCATCCTAAAGAGTAAAGACCACATTTACTAGAATTCCAATTAGAATATAATATTTTATTTTATTGAAATCACATACAATGGATGACCTCTCAAGCAGTCAACACGAGTCTAAGATGACATATATAGTCTAATCCAATCACATACAAAGAATGAGTGAGCACAAGAAAAAAGGAGCAGTGGGAGGGGAACAATATAATCCAATGTAAGGACAAAAGGTACAAAACTGCAAAATGTATGACAAATGTTGACAACCCGGCCTCATGGTCAAGATTACACTCCCGAAAACAATACTACCTCGGTCCCATTTGTATTGGGACGGAAGAGGATGACACGGTTATTAAGAAAAGTTAGTTTGTGTGGTTGATATTAATTGATAAAGTAAGAATAAAGTAAGAATGATTTAGAGCCACACAAACTTTGTCAAATATGGTATGAGACAATTTAAGTGAGACTTCCCGAAAAGTAAAACGAGAGTCAAATATAGTAATAACAATTAATATTCTATTCGGAAGGAGAGAGCAACATGGTGTTGGGCCAGATAGAGTGGAGGAGAGTGAAGGTCGTAAGAAGCACGTTTGGAGGCACGGAATGAAGGAGCTCGTCGACTTTCTCAAACACACCTTGTCCTTGTGAAATGTGATACCGGAAAATCCTACAAAGCTCATCGACTTTCTCATACACACCCCGTGAAATGTGATACCGGAAAACACCACAGCCGCATACCAAGAAGACCACGTCCCCATCGTGTGGATGGAAAGCAACCGTACGGATGTTGAACTTGTTTTCTTCTTCTTCTACTTGGATGCCATTAGGCGGCAGCCTATCATTGAAGCGTGTGTCATGAACGAGAGTCCAACAATTGGTTCTGTGATTCAACTCCCAAACTTTAACCACAACGAGATCGCGAGGCTGCTGCGGGTCACGCAACGACGGGCGAAATACGTTGAATAATCTCAGTTCCCCCAGGACAGCACCCAACTCTAGTGAAACAACACTCCCACCACCAGCCATAGAGCCTTCAGGAAGGTCGATAAAGGCAGTAGAGTGGGGGGTTTTCGCCAAATCACAGGCAATGACATAGTCAGGAACAACACCGCAATTGAACCAATAAATAGTTCCATTACAAGTGATTGGGTTAATGAAAAACCTAGGGGTCTTGGTGGTAATGGGTACAGGATATCGAAACCATAAATTAACACTCCATTTTCTTGACTTTGAACAATAAATGGACATCCTAAACTTCCAACTGTCCCCTCGCCGAGCAAAATCATCGTCTCCACAATCATGGGGAAAATGAATGAAAACAACCTTGTATTCATAACTGCCACTGCTGTTACAAGCGGGCGGCATGCGAACTACTGCAAACCCAATCAGGAAGTCTCCGAACCAAACATGGGGGAGATGGAGCCACTGTTTGGTTACTGGGTTACAGAGATAGTAGGAGTTTGGCTTACCCATATAGTCGCGTCCACCTTGCGACATCAGCAGCAAGTCACCGCAAGATGCTCTTATGACCATGTTGGGTGAAGGCGGCTGGACGCCGCCGTGGCTGCCTGAAGGAGGATAACTTCTACATGATGTGGCTGTCTCTAATTCCTTTACTCCCCCGTGGAGAACCATGGATTCTTCCGAAAACAGTTTGCAGATGGGCCGATAATACTCATCTGCAACATGCTCAAAAACATCTACTATGCGGAATATGATGGAATAAGGCTGCTCTTTCTTCTTTTGTTCCTGGAGGCCTATGAACCTGGGAATAAAGTGCTGCTGGGAGATGAGGGAATGCCAAAGGTGACAAACCAGCCCTGCTTGAATCGCAATTCGACTATTTGGTAGCCTAGATAGTATCTCCAACAATATGTCTTCATTACCACCCTCCCCCCTCAACAATAGCCCCAAATCAGCAGCAGCACTCATGCCTTCACCTGCTCCGGGATTAACAACTTCACAGCTTCTCCGTAAATTCTGCTGTAGTTTTTTTTTTATTTTAATTAGAAAGCTCCGCTGTTTCAATTAAATGCAAAAACAAAAAACGATTTAATTTTCAAGTTTTATGAACGAAGAACCGATCTCAAAGAAAGTAGAGTAAATAGAAACCTTCAATTCGCCGGTGAACAGCCTCTTTGCCATGGCTCGATGTTTTTCAGATTCGTAAATTTGCCGCCTCCGTATCGTTTAGATATCGAATGGTTTGGAGCTTCCTTGTCAATGTTGATGGATTGTTAGGGAAACTGATGGATTGCTTCTTATGTTGATTGCTTCACCGCCTAACCTCAAGCAATCCCATGTTATTTCGGACTTCGTAATGTCATGGATTGCTTCACTGGAGTAGTCTTATACTCCGTAATGTTTTATGGGATAACGTATGTCAAATTGCAATTTAGAAATTGTTCTTTGCCTCGACTCAATGTTTCTATATGATCTGAATTTTCATCTGGCATGATCGGATTTGAATTGTAATTTCCATTATAATTATAATTATAATTATAATTGCAATTATAACTATAATTATATTTATTATAATGCTAATTGTAATTATAATTATAGTTGTAATATAATCATATCTACAATTATAATTATAGCTATAAATAATAATAATAATAATAACAATTACTACTACTATTATTATAATAGTAGTAATAAAAGTGATAAATCGTATCTGAACTTTTATAAGTATTTCTGATCTGATTTGATTTTTTCTTATCTGATATGATCTGATATGATCTGATCTGAATCTTTCTGATTTGATTTGATCTGAATTTTTTTATCTAATCTAATCTGAATAAAATAAGAATAAACAATAAGTAATAAGAATAAGACGAACATAACAACTTCGTCTATCTTTAAAAAAAATATGTAATAATTGTGCATATTAAAATAAATTTCATCTACCTTTAAAAAAACCATCTTAAAACAAAAAAGTCTCGCACAAGATTAAATATTAAAAAGTCCATTATTGAGTTGTTAGGGTCTCGAATGTTGATTTTTGATGGGTTGCTACAGGTAGTGGCCTAGTAGGGATACTTCTTTTCAAATTCGATGGAACCGTATTAAAATTATAGGCGCTAAATTTGATTCGGTTCTAGTGAAAATGTAGTTAAATTCGGTTCGGTTCTAATTAAATTCGGTTCGGTTCTTACATTTTTTCGGTTCCTAATAAAAAATTATTATCCTCATAAAATGAACACAGTTTACCTTCAGTTACATAAAAAAATCAAATTTCAAATGATGAAATTATGACCATTACATTATACATACATTATATTCCAATATTCAAATATCACAAAAATATCTTAGTGAAAACATTAAGTTTAAACATAACAAAAACATAAAAGTTTAAGATATGTATCAACTATCAAGCAAAAAGGTTTAATACGTTGTTTCAAAGTACATATCCAATAGCAGGTAGTTCAACCTCAAAATAATACTACCTCCGTCCCATTTATATTGGGACGGAAGAGGGTGGCACGGTTATTAAGAAAAGTGAGTTTGTGTGGTTGATATTAATTGATAAAGTAAGAATAAAGTAAGAATGATTTAGAGCCACACAAACTTTACCAAATATGGTATGAGACAATTTAAGTGGAAGTTCCCGAAAAGGTAAAACGGGACAATATAAGTGGGAGTACTCTTCTACTAGTAATGCATGATAAAGTAAAATGTACATAGTAGTACTACACTACTACCTCCTTCGAATGCTTTCAGGCTTCGGCTTTCTAAATGGCTCCAACACATTTCTAAATGGTCCTCAGTAATTTGCTGGCAGAGAAGAGTAATCCAGCACGCCCTTCGAATGCTTGAGAGATTTCGAAGTAAGCCAGCATGTCGTTCTAACTGATGAGTAAAATTCAAAGGCTTCATGCCGCCATTAATAGCAACTAGTATTGTACCCGTGCGTTGCACGGTGCATGAGTTTGGGGTGGTTTATAACATCACCAAACGTAAAATTTAATTGGTTATAAAATTAAACATCATCCATTGCACCATTCGTTAGCAAAAGTGTAAAAGTGTGAGATTGTTGCAATGTGTAACGTGATAATCATACATTCTAAATCATTACAAATTATGGAACACTTCTTTGTAGACAACGTTCACCGTCTCATTCTTTGCGCAACCATCTTCATTAAGAATGATAATATTAAGACCAGCACGATTGGTTACTCTTGACACAACAATATATGGTTGTCCATGACTGAAAACTGGTTTTTTCAATAGCAGACCAACATGACTGAGCGATTGACCTTGACTTTTATTGATGGTTATTGCATAAGAAACCATAATCGGGAATTGTCTCCTTTGAAACCTAAATGGCAGCCTAGCATCCGATGGGGTCAAGGATAGTCCCGGTATTAAAACTTTATGTCTTGTGCTCGTTCCATTAAGAATCCTCCCCTCTAAGATGTGATCACACATCATTGTTATTGTGAGCCTTGTCCCGTTACACAGACCCAATGAGTGATCAATATTACGGAGAAGCATGACTGGATCGGAGAACAAATCTTCAAAATTAACTTGTGGTTTGGCACTCCAGAGAGTTTAATATTGTTCAAGAATTCTGGAGTTTGCAACTCTGCTATTAGATCATGAGTTAAATCCGATTTGCAAACACTGTCTAAACTAAGATATGTTCTGACAACTTCTTTGGAATTCAAACTTATCATATAGTCATTCACAGAATCAACAACTTCAACAGTTGGAGCTAGCAAGAATGGCCCTATCTCTCAAGTTCATACGAGTTTCTAGTATTCCTCCTGTGCGATGCACGGTGTGTGAGTTTTTGGATGGGGTATAAACACCGTTAGACATGAAAATTCAATTGGTTATAAAATTAATATCATACATTAGACAATTATGACCTAAAAGTGTAATACAAAAGTTTTTTGTAATGTGTAATGTGATTATGTTGCAATGTGAAACATTACAGATTATGGAGCACTTTTTTGGTAGACATCATTCATTGCTTCATCCTTTAGACAATCATCTTTATTTTGAATGGGGATTTTTAGACCTGCACGATTGGTAACTCTTGACACAACAAAATATAACTGCATTTCCATGCCTGAAAACTGTTTTTCTCAGTAAGATCAACATGAGTGAGCGACTGATCTTGACTTTTATTGATGGTCATTGCATAAGAAATCATAATTGGAAATTGTCTCCTTTGAAATCTAAATGGAAACTGAACATCAGACGGTGTGAAACATAATCACGGTATTACAACGTAACTTTCTGTCCTACACTCGTACCATTCAGAACCCTACTCTCCAAGATGTGATCACGCCTATTTGTTATGATGAGTCTTGTTCCGTTACATAGAAAGAGTGAGTGGTCAATATTATGCAGAAGCATCAGTGGTGTTCCAATTTCCAAAGAGCCAAATCAAATTTTTTATTTAAGATATTTCATGTGATTTGGCACTTCAAAGTTAACCCGTGATATGACTAACAATAGATTTCTTTATTAAGAGATCAATATGAGATAGTAATGGATCTCGATTTTTTTAATATTAATGCATAAGAAGTCATTATCAAATATTGTCGCCTTCGAAATCTACGGACTTGTTTGGTAATCATGTTTTTCGGCTTATCGACTTTATCAACAATCTTTTTCTGCCCATCAAACACAAAATTTTTAATTTCACGTGCTGGATTGTATAATAGAGAAAATAAGTAAAGTTTTAAATTATTTTCCAGGCGAAATGGGGTCAAATATGACCTTCTACTATTTTCCTAAAGTTAATGCAGCTGACCATTTTAGATATTTTTATATAATTATTTCTTTTATTTTCAAAATAAATTATAGGAAAAGGGGTCAAATAAGACTTTCTACTATTTCCAAGCAGACACTTAAGCCCTATACTAAAAAAGTGTTATATAAATACATTTACTTACAAAAAAATATATCAATTTAGCCATTTCAACAATTTTTGACCTGTAATAGTAGGTATTTATATTGAAAAGCTCTAAAACTATGTGTTAAAATTTGAAGATGCGTAGATAAAACTTGTGAAAAAAAATCAGAATGTCAAAGTCAAAATATTTGATTTTTTGAAATTATTTTGATATTCTACACCTATTTAAATTTTTTCGTGTTTTCAATTACATTTTTATTTTCTTATTTTATTATTTTTATTTTAACATTTTTAAATTATTTATCTATTTTTAAATTTATACTAATTTTATATTATTATTACATTAGTTTTTAAATATATACAATTTTTTATAAGATTTATCAATAGCCCTAATTTTTTTATAAAAAAATAAAAAAGATTTATTTGATGCTTATATGATGCTTTTCTAAGTAAAAGGGCTTGGGTGATGGATTGCAAATAATCGGAAGAGTTTATTTGATCATTTTCCCTAAAAGATATTTTAAATATAATTTTTCATAATCAAGCAAATTCAGTCAATTCAACTGGTTTAGCCAAATGTTCATCAATTTTAGTAGATTCTGCCGAATTAGTCAATTTCATTATTACCAAATGGTCTCCTAAAAAAAGCCTAACAATATAAGGCGTTACTTAAAGTCTTGGAATTGAAACTTTTTATCTAACACTCACGTTAGATTAATACTTTCCTCGATATCTTTATCATATACTCTGTCCCATTCTGATCTTGTCCCTTTCTTTTTTCCCACACCTCATATAAAGATTTCCGTTTCAATTTTTTGGTAACAATTAACATTCTTAAATGACAATTTAATAATTACTATGTAAATATTAAAGTTATACGTTTATAATATCATAGTAACATGAACCCCACTATATTATATACACATCATAACTATTTCTCCAAAAATACCTGAATTGCCTCATTTAATACTCCATAATTGTCTAAATAATTATACAAATTTTTCATGAGAACCTTTAAACGGGACAAATGTAGTATGATAGAAGAAATAACTCTGTTAAGTGTCTTATTATTATTATTATTATTATTATTATTATTATTATTATTATTATTATTATTATTATTATTATTATTATTATTATTATTATTATTATTATTATTATTATTATTATTATTATTATTATTATTATTATTATTATTATTATTATTATTATTATTATTATTATTATTATTATTAATTGAATAGTTTAAAATTGTGTTTAAAATATATACTTCGTATAAGATTAGTATTTTATTTTTATTAAGTAAAATACAGACAAAATCAGTATTTCTTTCATTTTAATTTATATGGAGTAATTAGTATCTCCATCACAAATAATGTGTGACTCGGCCCAATCCCTTCTCCAATCAGCAACCCGACACCTAATTTTCTCTGGGTTCTTCGGCTGACAATACCTCGTGTCCTTTTTTTCTATCTACTTTGCATTAAAAAATATCATTGGTCAAA